TCTAGGCTTTCTTTGATGTTATGCTTGGGAACAAGTTTACCACTATAACCCACAATGTTTTAGGATATTATTTTTATGTCACAAGGTCAAAGGCCTTTTGCTTTAAAATACAGGGGACACCTGTTATGCCAATTTCACAGCAAATTTACTTCCTTGGTTGAAGTCACAAAAGAAAACAAAAGACAGACACTGTAAAACATAAACAATTGTATCCCATAATTCCCTGGTGCAATTCCAATAATTGACGGCCCAAATATATCAAACAATTTTAACATCTGACTTTCAAAAAATAATTTATTTACCTGGTAAAACTAACTCTCCTTTGTCCAGTACCTTCCTTATATGGCCTACTTTAGTGCCGTGATACGCTATATGCCATTCTTTGAAGGCATTCAGTAACTGTGCCCTTGGCATCACCCTGAATGCAAAAGCAATCAACACAAACATGAATATAAATTCAAAACTTTATCCATCATTTACAGATATAGTAAATACTGTGGACATATTGTAAACCCTGGTGAAGTTTCAAGAATTTTTTGAGTCAGTAAAGATAAAAAAAAATGTAGGCAGTAAAAGCTTCACTGAGGTTCAAGGGGTCATAGTGACTGTCACAAAAGTTTGTTCTTATTAATACTAATAAATCATCAAATCACGTACATTTCTAACAGCAAAAATTACTATACTTTTATTAAAATAAAGTCTGCAAAGATAGGCGCAGACTGATGCAGATTATAACCAATATCTACTGTCATCATATCAAGTTAAACTAAAATCAGTTCAGTCATCTGAGAAATAGTTTTGAACAAATTCAAAGATAGCCTGAAAACTAGCAATCTAAGTACACCCAGAACAGTCTGGTGAATCTGTATGTAACTATTTAATCAAGAAAGAAATCTGTGTCATCACTGTTAGCTGTCTCCATAGTTTCATTCAGTACATACTATGGAAACATACATGCGTTCATAACACTGATCCACTAGTTTATTATTCGAAAATTGTCTCACACTCATACATGTAGACAACATCTAACCCAGTTCTAAGATTACAATAAATCTTACCTGAGTGCAAATTTACACCAGCCAAACGGCAACGCATAATCTTTCGGAGGCTGTCCTTTCTTATAATATGGTTCATCTCCACGTATTTTATGGCACGTTTCACAGTAACAAATACTCATTTTAGGGTCACTTTCAAAATAACCATCTGTCACAGTGAAAAAAAAAGGTCATAATCCAGTAAATTGATAGTTTGCAGTATTTTTGTTTGTCTAACAATTTAATTAAATCACCAACATACTTGTCAGAGCTAGGATATAGTGACAAGAAATAGACCAGAAATTGGTACGATATGCTTATATTTTAACAAAGCAACAAACATTGGGATGTTTTGCCACCTTCCAGACAGCACTTCCATTCTATATCTCTTCTATCTGTGAAACACAATTTCAACATTATTGAATAAATCCAGTAAGCACTATCAAATTATGAGTTTTTAATTCACCAAAAAAATGAGAAACCAAGTGCTCTCAAATTTTGGCAAAGAAATTCTTACAGATCATTCCATTATTTAGTGGTAGGGAAGAGTCTTACATAGTTATCCAATAGTAGTTTTATGCCTATTCCATTATTTAGTGGTAGGGAAGAGTCTTACATAGTTATCCAATAGTAGTTTTATGCCTATTCCATTATTTAGTGGTAGGGAAGAGTCTTACATAGTTATCCAATAGTAGTTTTATGCCTATTCCATTATTTAGTGGTAGGGAAGAGTCTTACATAGTTATCCAATAGTAGTTTTATGCCTATTCCATTATTTAGTGGTAGGGAAGATAGTTATCCAATAGTAGCTTTACACCTATTCCATTATTTAGTGGGTAAGGACGAGTTTTACTTAGTAATGCAATAGAAGCTTTACGTCTATTCCATTATTTAGTGGGTAAGGAAGAGTCTTACTTAGTTATCCAATAGTAGTTTTATGCCTATTCCATTACAGTACTCATTCCGCCCAGCCTCCCGCTTTTATCGCTTTTTTCCCCGACCGCTTATCGCTTAATTTCCGACCGCTCGCTGCTTTCCGACCGGAAACCGACCGCTTTTTTTCCGCTCGCTCGCGTTCGCTTTTGTTCGCTCGCTCGCTCGCTTTTGTTCGCTCGCTCGCTCCTGCTATGGCTGGCTTCAGAAACATCGTCCGCTTGCCAACCGACCGCTGGAGTAACAATGATCGTACATTGTATGTATAAACTTAAGTTTTTATTCTTAATAAATTTAGGTTTTAATGACGATTCAAAACACAACGCCTATTGCGTCTCTGTTTTTGGAACAAGGACGCCTTCAAATCACTTGACTTAACGTTTGCTACGCAAGTCGAACTGTGACCTGTATTTACATATTTACGTCCTTGTGTGTGTAGTTCAAGCAGCTATATAACTGGTCAATCGCGATATGTATTGAGTACTAGTATTTGTGTGTTGTGTGTGTGTTTCTGTGTGTGATTTTGACTAAATTTATTCCGAACGGCGCTCAAAATAATTTGACACTTTGTTATTTGCGAACGCAACTCACACTATGACCCTTACTCAATTTGCATAAGTAATACGAATGCTGTAGTTCAG